TCCCAAACCGTCGAAGCAGATACTGTTGGACATAGTGTCTTTCCTCTCAGACATCAATGATTAAACTAAGTACCCTGTCTCAGTGAACTGCAAAAATCATACATCGCTGCTATACTCAGTAATTTTTATTTTTTTACTTATCTTTAGGATATGGTGTTGTGCATTTTGTGTTACTGATTTTGGAGTAAATTCATCAATGTCACTTCGATAATCATAGTTTATTTGACACCCAATGCAGTTCTATGACAAGTTTAATATATGCCACAACATTGCCGAACTACTTGAATATCTATGGCAGGTTCCAAGTCACCGTAATGTTTGGAGACAGGTTGAGTTACCTGAGCTTTTCTTTTGTCACCCCACGCCACCCCACCTCCTTTTTTTTTTCCTCCCTCCTTTTCATATCCTCTCAATTTCTGTTTGAAATTATATGTATTACTATTGCATGCTGTTCCAGATAGCTAAGGAGGAGGAGAAGGGTGTCTATTTGAACTTCTTAAACTTTTTGATCAACGATAGCATTTATCTCCTTGACGAAAGTCTGAACAAAATACTAGAAATCAAAGAACTGGAAGCTGAAATGTCTAATACTGTGGAATGGGAACGAAGATCTCAGCAAGTGAGGCAGGAGAGAACTCGACTTTTCCATTCCCAAGAGAATGTGAGTTTCATTTCATATTTATTTGTTTATCTATGGTTTGAAATGCTTATTCAGATGGAAGTTCTTTTGTGTTGTAGATTATCATATTTGATATGAAATTGGCGAATGAAGATGTTAGTTTGCTGGCATTTACTTCAGAACAGATCACAGCTCCCTTTCTACTGCCGGAGATGGTATTCTGCGTCATTGAAATTTCCGACTTTCTGAAACTGATCTGTTAAGGTTTCGTTGACAGTCTTTGCTGCGTTCTTCCAGGTTGAAAGAGTAGCCAGTATGCTGAATTATTTTCTATTACAACTGGTGGGCCCCCAAAGAAAATCTCTTAGCTTGAAAGACCCTGAAAAGTACGAGTTTTGACCAAAACAATTGCTAAAGCAGGTTGGCAGTAAAATGATATTTTATTGCTTATTCAAACTTAGTTGTAGATATTTTGGTTAAACTTGAAACTTCCGAGTTTTATTGACAGTCTTTGCTGCGTTCTTCCAGGTTGAAAGAGTAGCCAGTATGCTGAATTATTTTCTATTACAACTGGTGGGCCCCCAAAGAAAATCTCTTAGCTTGAAAGACCCTGAAAAGTACGAGTTTCGACCAAAACAATTGCTAAAGCAGGTTGGCAGTAAAATGATATTTTATTGCTTATTCAAACTTAGTTGTAGATATTTTGGTTAAACTTGAAACTTCCGAGTTTTTCGAATCTATCAACCAGGTTGGGTAAACAGGGCAGTTCCCGTAAATTATATTATTGGATCACTGGGTTATTAGTCTACATCCTTCACACTGTGCCGATTTGGTTTAAGAGGTGTGCCAGAAGCGCATTCACTTTAGGTTTAAAAATAGAAAATAGATTCTGACTGATTCTCATACCACAATTATTAGTTCTAGTGTATGTTCGGGTTTGATTTTAAGTTCGTTATAATTTAAGCTCAAAGTCGACCTTTAATTTAACCACAAAGAGTAGGACCCACAACTTCTACTCATTCATCCATCATTCATTTCTATCACATTATAATTTCAGCAACTTATAAACAAATCCAAACCAGATATAAGTTTCATTATTCTGACAACTTTCCAGTTTCGTAGGAATTTAAGTATAACTAGGACTAGTATTCATGAATATTGTAAACAATTATTCTGATATATTCAGCTATATTGAAATTCCTCTCTCCATTTTCTTAGTCAATTCGCGTTTTTTTTTTTTTTTATTCCTCATGGTCTTGGATTAAGATGACGCATGTGTAGCTTGGTTCTAATTGCGTAATTTTGTATCTGTAGATTGTAAACATATATGTGAACTTGGCTAGAGGAGATAAGGAGAACATCTTCCCAGCTGCCATCATAAGAGATGGTCGATCATACAACGAACAGGTATGTACTAAATTATGCAATGTTTTTCACTTTGTTTTCTTCCAATGTTGGTTAGGACTGCGAAAGTCGATCAATATGAGCTGGCTATTTCTTTCCAGCTATTTGGTGCTGCAGCAGATGTCCTCAGGAGAATTGGGGAAGATGTAAGGATCATTCAAGAGTTTATTGGCCTTGGTGCAAAAACTAAAGTTGCAGCTTCAGAGGCCATGGATGCGGAGGCTGTTCTTGGAGATATACCAGATGAATTCCTGGACCCAATTCAAGTAAATAATCGTATCTTAGTTTGTTTGACTGGACTCGTTATGATAATATGCTCAATTATCGTGTAATATGGTTATTTGCAATTCAACTGTTTCTTTCTTTGTCTAATGACACTAATTTTCCATGGATTGCAGTATACTTTAATGAAGGATCCTGTCATTTTACCTTCGTCAAAGGTCACACTCGACCGATCCGTTATTTATAGGCATCTTCTAAGTGATAGTGTAAGTTCCTTCTGATCCGCTTTATTTAGAAAGAGTTAAAATTTGGGGAACTATTTTTTTATTTTTGAACTTATTTGTTTTGGAATTACAGACCGACCCCTTTAATCGTTCTCATCTAACGGTTGACATGTTAATTCCAAACACGGAGGTGAAGGCAGCTATCGAAGAATTCATTAGGTCACAAGAGGTGAAGCACAGTGCGGATAACTCGAATATGGAAAGAAGCAAAGACACGATACAGACGACGAATACGACTTCTTTAATTGACTAGTTAGAATATTTAGAATCATCCCTTCTTTGTAAATTGGATTCTGTTCTGTAATTTGCAATCAGTTAACATAGTTTCCACCCCCGTCGTTCATTTATCTTATTATACGTACAAAGAAGAGTTGAAATTTATTGCCTTTCTTGAAATATTGTAAATCAATTTGGTTAAGAAATCTGTTGTGGTGGAGTACTGTGGGGGAACTGCAGTTTCCATGTTCAATTCAGACTAATGGGTCTGAGTATTCTGCGTATCTTGGACGTTGATTCCCGTGTCAAAGTCTCTTAAAATTTGACAATGATGTTTCAATATAATTTGTGTATTCTCGAACTTTTAACTTTTTAGGAGGAATAGTATTAAGTTCAATGAAATGTGCGGTTAATAAATTAGTATCGGTGAACGTTGTGGTTGAAATTACTTCTAATTGAATAGGAAAAATAACTTTTTAGTTACTTTTATTTTATAACGTCAGACGCAATGTTTAGTTAATGATGAGGGTTAATATTTAGGGTTAGTTATTGTTGTTTGAAAATTTTAGAGTTCAATTAAATTAAAGTTGATTAAATCTTTTTACATTTTTAATTAAATGGGTAATTATGATTAAAAATGAAAATGGGGGGTGGGGGTGGGGGGGTGTATTTTTACTTCTTCAAGAAAATTAGTTGTGTTTAGTAATTTATCCTACAAGTAAGTTAAGCTATTTGTATCACTTTTTAATATATTTCTATTTGCAACTTTTAATGTATCCATGTTGCATATTTGATAAGTACACAAAACAATATTAAAGAAAAAGACATCGTGAGTGTTTGATAAGTACATTAAACAATATTAAAAAAAAAATTATTATTTTGTTTGTTATACAATGCCTAAAAATGTCCTATGCCAAATTGGCGTGCAAAACTCAACATTGTACTACATCAATGATGTCTCTCGGAACATAGTCCAGTGGTGCAAATAACAGCAGTGAGGTTATCTCACGCCTTGCTGGTAGCCGTAGTGTGAAGGTTCGATTCTTGAGACATGGAATTGGACTTCTTGTAGGTGCAGTGTACAGGCAGCTCTTGATCTATGGTCTGTTGGGGCACATCCCATGATTTATCTCCCTCACAAAGCTCTAGGAGCAGGATGGTGAGAACCCTCAAGGTTGGGGTTCAACCTTTTTTTTTTTTTTCACATCAATAACCCTAAAATTTGTTTCTGATGATTTCAATCATTAGGGATTAAAAGAACCAAAAATTTTTAATAAAAAAAAATAGAAAAAAGAAAAAGAAAAAGAAAGTTAGAGACGAACACTACCAAAAAAGAAAAAAAAGAAGAGTAGGAGTCTGTTTGAGAGTGATTTTGAAAATTAATTTTTTGACCGTTAGGAGAAAAGTGAGGTCTACCTGTGAGAGAAGAAGTCAAATATGACGGTTGAAATAGTGAAATAACGGTCGAAAAATCAATTTTTTGGATGAAAAAATGGAGCCCAAACAGGCTCTAGAGTAGAAGCAACAGTTCTGAGCTTTCCCTTAGCACAAAATCATGAGATTACCGCATGGCATGAAATTTTGTCAATTATTCAGTTCACTTCGTTACGAAAACAAATTATTTAGATCCGTATCAATTAATAAAAAAAACTTTTCATCCTCTATTTTTTGAGATACTCTAAAAAGTGTTATCACTTTTATAAACTAGAATCTTTTATGTTTATGTAAAACATCCTCAATTTAGATTTTTAAGAATTTTAAAAGTCTCATAAATCTATGTGTCCCTTGCTCTTAAAATTCAGCTTGTAATGGTGAAACTCTGTTGAAACTCATAAAGAGTAAAATATCCATTATTAAAAAAAGGTTGAACTTCAATCTTGACGGCTCTACCGTCCCGTCCGTGGAACATCATGAAGGAGGTAAATAGCGGGATGTATCCCAATAGATCAAGGAACAAGAATTTGTTTGTACATTGGTGCCCACAAAGAATCTAATTCCATATCTCAGGAATCGAACCCTCACACTGCAGCTGCCAGCAAGGTTGAGACTATTTCATTCCTATTCTTTGTACCACTGGATTATGGCCCGGAGCGTAAAATATCCATTTTTATCTACCATGATGATGGATTATATTATTAATTCTTATGGCTGTTAGCAGGTAAAACGTGCTGTGCCACACTGACTATGAGCTGGAAAACACAGTTTGTACGCTTCTTCAAAGAAACCAAATGTATAGTTTTATTACTAATTTCTCACCCTCCACGGATTAATTTATGGATTGGCAGCTATGCAGATCTATACTCTACCCAACACGCCAATATAATCACGAATTCACAATTACGGAGGGAAAACACTTCCATCTATATATATTCACATATTCACATTCAAGTACACAGACACAGCAGAGAGAGACGAGAGAAAATGGAGAGGCTGAGGAGTGGCATTGGTTGGTGGGCGGTGCTAACGTGCGCTGTGATGTTGATGATGCCGCCGGAGGTGTCGGCGGTGCGCTACATTGTGGGAGCTAACATGGGTTGGACTTCAAATGTGAACTACACCATTTGGGCTCAGGACAAACACTTCTATCTTGGCGATTGGCTCTGTACGCTGTTCTCTTTCTCACTTTCAAATTAGTTTCCTATAATCTTACATTAACTGATGCGTTTAATTACGGATTAATAAATTGAGTGAAATCAGAAACAAGCAAGCTATCAAGTTGTCACTATAATACACAAGAGAGTAACACATTTTCTCACGTCGATTAATCAACAAACAATTTCAACTGAACTGTGGTTTCCTATTGGATCTGCTGATTTAGCATTCTGATATGTTGGATTGGGCATCTTTCAATTGAAAAAGGTTTCTATTTTCATTGGCATACGTACATTCTTTTACTCTTTCTTTCGTGGGAAAAGTTTTGTTCACTGTTGGATCTATCTTCTTTAGTATGTATTCTTCTTCAAATGAGCGACTCCCGACATGGACATGATTCACACCCAAGACATTGTTTATTATGTGACTTCCTGAACTTAATTGCTTTTTTAACTGTCAATTAGGAAACAAGAGAAGTCACCTCTCAAAGTCATCCCCGCACAATCACCCGTTCGTTGCAAAGTTTTCGCGTGTTCTTAATATGGAAGAAATTCAATGTGTTCTAGTCCAGTAAATAAAGATTAATGGGCTACTTGTCATTCTGTAGAAAAGGAATCCTGCCTAATTCGCTAGTCCCCCAAGAAGATTCTGCACTTTTATATGAATGATGCTATCTGTAGATTTGGAGTTGACACCCCCCTCACCCCACACATAATGAAATAATTGTTAACCCCAGATGTACAAATAACAAAACTGACTCCTCATTTTCCTTCCCAGTTTTCGTGTACGATAGGAACCAGATGAACGTGCTCGAGGTAAACAGTACGGATTATGATAATTGCATTTCTGATCATCCCCTTCACAATTGGACTACTGGCGCTGGACGGGAAGTGGTTCCTCTAAATGTGACAAAGACTCGCTACTTCATCAGCGGCAAAGGATTCTGCTTTGGAGGAGTGAAAGTAGCAATTCGTGTCGAGAAACCCCCTGCCCCACCAACATATTCGCCACTAAAAAGTCACTCTCCTGGTTTGCTAAATTCTTTTAGAGGTCAGATTTTCGTTTTTGCAGTAGCCGCAGTGTGGGATTCATTTCTTCTCCTCTTGTAGCAACAAAGTTGCTTGTTTGGATATTTGTTTTACCCAAAATGTTGTGTTTTGCTTCATTGGTTTATTAGTTCTTTTGTGTCTTATTCTAGTAAGGTTCAAAGATGAAAATAAGTTAAAATTTGTATATTGTACTGTCCAGTCTTATCGCATACTTTTAACCTGAAAATGAAGGTTTTTCGGGTCATGATTTGTGGAAAACTTTTTATTTGTTCAACAACCTTAAAGAAACTCTGTGTTGGAGAATTCAAGTGCGTTAATTGCGGATGTATATTCGTGTTTTTTCGAGTTTTCTGTGAATAAATAAAAAATGCACTCACCTAAACCATGTGACCACAAACAAGAAAATATTTCATTATTATCGCTGTTGAATTGTTCTCATGTATTTGTTATCAATCAATTTTACAAAGACGAGAGTCACTCGATTTAATTTAATATTCGACATTGTATAGAAGCCAAAATCAAAGTCAAAATTACTGACAAATATTTTGATCGTTGTAGTACTCTATTTTAAGCTTCCACGTGCGAATCTACGTCACTGTCAATGAGTATTTCTAATGTGAAATCATAAGTTTGATTTTCATAATAAACGATGACCGCACGAGACGTACAAACACAAATATAATCAATGAGTGAATAGAGCACGCACGATGAATAAAACGTGAAAATGTAACAAATTTAGTTAAAAACTCACTACTTAATGACCGCCTTGGGTCGATAAAAAGAAAATGACTAAATTACGCTCGTTACTTCATCAGGTATCTATAGAGAGTTATGAATTCAAACAAAAAAGTTGATATGGAAAAAAATTGGATTTACTCTCTTCTTAAATTAGCCAAATTCTAAGTTTTCACTTTCAGCAAATTTCATTGAGTTTTGGGGAAGAAAATTGATTAGGTGAAAGGAATTTGTTAATTTTGAATTCGAGGTTAGCAGTATCATCGCACCTTTAAGCTATATAAAGGTGCTAACCATTAACTACTTGGGATTCAATTTCCGCTCAATGGGTAGATCTTTTAGTCTACCAATGAACGTAATTTAAACTCCCCCCTTCTCGCTCAATGGAAGAATCTTGAAATCAAGTTATGAACTTAGTTTTACTTTCGCTTTTTATAGGATCTTAACTTAAAATAAGATATGACGAGATAATATAATTTTATATGCCTCATTCTTAGAATTAATTTGTTTAATCTTAATTTATTTACATCATCTAAATCCTTTCAAATAAGTTAATATGATCGAATCACTAACATCTTGACTAGAGACTCACTAGATTCCTACCACGACGAGTTTTACTCTCATTAGAACCTCTAGAGAATATGTGATAATTGCTATAAACTAGATGTGAGAGAGAGAGCAACGCATCAAGACTCTTGTGGGTTTTTCATTATAAAAATGATCCTTAGTGTACACACACACACAAAATTATTTAAGATTAAGATGCTGGAAATGCGTCGTTTGAAAAATTAGTTGGTGAAACATGACTATCATCTAAATCATAATTATTTTGAATGTGTATTCAGCACCCCTTGGCCCTTGATAATCTTTTCATTAGTACGTTATTACATCTTCATATCATTTTCACTACACTAGTTCAAGAGTTACTCAACATTCATTACAATTTTTGTAACATTTACTGGAAATGACTTCTTGTAATCCATTGATAAATCAAATTATTCATTTAATGAAAATTAATAATCAATCTAAAGTAATATGTAGCTTGATTCCAACATTATTATTTTGTATGAGTTTTAATGTACGTGTTTAACTATACAAAATCAGAAAAAATGAAATGGACATGTGGCATGACTTATTCGATGCGTATGGAGGAGTTGTTGTGTCATTGCAATGCGCTCATCGGCGCCAAGGACATGTTAACCCTTCCTCGGCCTCATGCTTTGATATATGTCATGATGTCCGATTAGTTTAATAATTTCAATATTATTACTTTTAAACATGTAAAAATGTATTTTCTGTTATTCACGGGACAAGTACATTTAGCTCCTGTTTGGGCCTCATTAATTTTCATTTCATTACATTTCATTTTTCTATCTCCTATTTTCAACCACTAAATCTTTCATAAAATAATATTACATGTAAATCGAAAAATTTTCCTTCATTTTTAACTACTCATTTTTCAAAAAAACACTATTTCACTCATTAATTTTTCCATCAAATGAGGGCTGAATTGTTGCTCAAGACCGATATATTGTAAGAGATAATGACATTTTATCGTATGAAAGAATTTTCTTAATATTTATTTTTTTATGAAATTTGCTCTAAAAAATTGTACTAAACGGGTCTTAAATTCTAATAGCAAGCTTTGGAAGTAGAAATAAAAAGCATAAAACTATCAGCCACAAAAGGCGCAAAATTCCCCTCGTCGCCTACATCGGAGGAGGCGCTTAATTCTATACACCTCATACACACCGGATAAAAATTT